GCAGCCTGCAGATACAGTGAGGAAATAGGTGTTTAATGACTGAGGGCCAGCTTGATTTTAGTCTTATTTTTCTGTCTGGCTGTTGTGCATGTTGATTTCCTGGCAGAGGGACTGTTCCTCCTACCCCTTGGAGTCCCTATTACCGCATACCCAGGATCTTTTCTCCCCTCTTATGGCCTCATGTAATTTCAGCGAAATCAAGTAAATCAGTCTTCATTTCTAGCTATTGTTTAATAGGTGTGGTCTATTAAACAAATTTGTAACTAAAATTTCACTGCATTTCCCTAATTCCAGAGTTCATATTCTTGCAGAGAATATCATCTTAAGGCAGAGATATTTTCCCCCCAGTGTTTAGCAACAGTCAGCTAGGATTTTCACATAGTAGCACCTCTTTGGTGGCGGCGATCCACTATTATTTCCTAGAGTGTCTACCAGAGCTGAAGTAATACAGATTCTCGTCAGAGCCAGTATTTCTGTAGACCTTTCTTGGATGCAGACACTGGGACTTCACGTGTAATTAATTCACTTTATTCGTCAGCCACCATGTGAAATGAGGTATCATTACCGTTTCCATCTTACAGATGAGGAAACAACTGAAGAACAGGGACGTTGACTGATTTTCCCAAGGTTATTCGGCTAACAGGAAGGGACAGAGCTGGGACTGGAACTCAGGGTCTCTCCTTCCATGGCCCACCTCTTACCCATGGCATATACTCTGCTGCCTGGTAAGCAGGCAGGCCCCCTCCTTTGTGGAAGAGTGGAAGTTAAGCTGAGCTGCTCACTGGACCACTCCAGAGGGCTCTTGACAGCCTGGCCCCTGTGATGGGGTCTCTGGATTCGAATCATACAGAGTATAATGCAAGCAGTTCCCAAGCCTGCGTCATTTTTTGGCATTGACCAACTATTCATTTTTTCTGTGTGTGCACATGTGATTTGCAGGCATGTATGCATAGGCACATGCTTGAGTCAACACACAGATACCCTTACCACTCTCATACCTGTGCACACTCTTGCACAATTCTGCTGTACATATCTCATGGCCATTCGCAGAAAACTGCCCTACCCTAGTCTAGCTTTCTCTTACCTATCATAGCATCAGTGTTCAAGCAGAATCATTGACTTGCCCTTATTTTGAGAACTTCTGATCTTTTTTTTTTTTGAGACTTTTCAGCAGTTCTTCTGAATGCTAGCATTGAGTCATTTAGTTTAGAGGGAGATGCTTCGAGTGGGCGGGTTACCTTAATCCTGAGGCTGGTGTGGGGTCTGAGGGTCAGTTGGCCTCTCTGTGGGGTAAATTCAGGGATGGTATTTCGACTTTACTGAGAAGGTCTTTCAGGACAAGGATAGCACACTCTGGTCAGTCAGCCTGTGTCCCCTGGACCTGAGGTTGGTACTGAGAGCAGAGACAGCAGGGTAGCAGCTGTGGCATAACTTTGCACCTGTAATTTTCTTTGAATTTATTTATCTTATTAGGTAACCAACCCCAGCAAGGCGTGACTCCCTATGGGCACCCTTCACACTTCTGAATCTGGAAGAGGAGAAGACATGAAGTTTTATGTTTGCACTGAAAAAATAGAAAATCGAATTTAATGCATTAGTCATCCTTAATCATGTCCTTTTGTTCTTTCATTTCTTTGACATGTTGCTGTATTTTATGCTACATCTCACACAAAGGTGTTTAAACAAAAAGCAAAGGAGAAATTGTGGTTTGGTTCTGTCGTATTCCACTTTAAAGTAGGTTTAAAAATGTGGATCATACAGGCCTACTCCAGGAAGAATGTGGTAGCAGACCTTTTGAATTTGGTGCTTTTTTTTTGAATCTCACATTTGCAGAAAGAATGAATTATGGTGGATTTAAAATATTTATGTATTTCATTCATTAATGATGAAGTGTTTTTTTTCTTCTTCTTCTTTTTCAAAACTGCTGGACCAAACTACTGATTTGAAAGTCATGTCAGATCTTGACAGGACAGTGACCCATTTATTCCATGCTCACCTATGATGGTGAAATGGACATTTATTTGCATCACTCTAATTTGAAATGTTTGTAATTTCATAAGCACTTTATGAACTTTGTTCTTATTTATGTAGGATTTTCCTCTGCTTTTGTTGTGGTCAAAAGGTGCTGAAACAGATTGTTGCTCAGTACTTAAACTTCGGAAACCAAGAACTAAACCAAGGTTTCTGTGAGAGCCACTCTAAGATGTGTGGAATCCTGTTAGAAGTAGCTGTACCCCAGATTTGTTTTCAGTGGCAAGATCATATACCAGAGTCTTTGCGAAAGTAACAACAATGTAAATTCTAAAGGCCTGAAAGAACCACAGTGGAATCGTTCCAAGTATTTATTGCCAGTTGTGGTCCTCCTGAACCTTATGCCAACTTGAGGGGGGACAAAACAAACCCCACAGCTGGCCTGAGACTCCACAGTGCTCTAACTTGACATGGCTTCCAGAGAATCTGGCTCCAAAGTCCAGAAGGCTCTGGTTTTCATAAAAGGTGTATCTGCTGTTTATTTTGTATGGTAAGTATTTGCTATTTTGAATTTAATTATTAATGTTGGTGTCAGTCTTGGTTGTGTATTGCATATACTGTATTTATAAATTGGTGCAAAAAGCACAAGTAAAGTAAATTATACATCAAATTTATTATAAAGAAATAGTAACTATTTTAACTTTGTTCAAGTATGTGGTAATTTGCTCCTATTAGAGTTTTAAAAAATACAGTAAATTATTATCAGTTTGTGTAACTTAAGAGTATTCCATATAATATTTTTTTAGATTTAGATGCATAAAATTTTGAATGTGAAAATTGCAGGGCATTTTAAAACGTATGTGGGGGATATTTTCCCATGTTCTTTGTTATTTCATTTCCTTTTGCCATATGATTTTACACGTAACGTAGTCAAGCATACTGTGAATAGATTTGTCTATACTGAGCAAACCATGTAGATCTACTTTTTTTAAATGTAGCTAGTACAACTTGAGTAGACAGTTTCTTTTGCAAATCATTATATATAAATAATTTATATCTTCCTAGGTGAGTTACTCATTGCAAAGTTTGACTCATGCAAATGACCTCAAATTCATGTCAGCTTACTTTGCTGTGGCAACATCCACGTGAACTGCTTTGTACACTGTGAAAATATTTTACTCCAGCCTGCTCATTTTGTGTTTACTCTGGGCTGGAAGAGACTTTGCCAAAACATTAAAGACCTTTTTTTTCCCCACTAAATTTACATAGTCTATCTGCTTTCAAGAAGACCTATCTGTACAGTTCTGCTGGTTTTGTATATCAGGGTTTTTTCCTCTCAAGAATCATACTTGGAGTTCATGAAGTTGTTTTTCTTGAAAATAATACACCCATATAATGACTGCATTGGCGAAACAACCGAAACATGAATGTTGTGCCTAGTGAGTGAGTCAGGTCCCTTCCTTGTTTTATTTCTTTTGAGAATTATTGGTGTTTAAAATGCCAGTTTTCATTTTGAACCATCTGTTTTTGTAACTCAAAGTTGGAAACAGCGGTAACACTGTTTCAAGGATGAGTGTTATAACTGCATAGCATTTGTATGCACTTTATATTTTGCAGAAGTTAAGCTAACTTATTAATCATTTTGCACATGAAAACTGTGGGGTAGACCTTTGTGTTCTTTTTTTTTTAGATGAGGAAGCTAAGTCATGGTAAGGCCCTGTAATTTCAAGAGCCTGTGGAAAGTTGAGGAAAAACTCAGAGCTGTTTTTGCGCTGTGCATTATAAACAAAGCAACTGGAATTACTTTAGTCCTATTTCACCCTTAATCCTGTATCTTGAGAGGTTTTTGTTCTTTTTCTTTTCTAGCAAATGCATTAATTTGCATTAAAATCACAATAGAAAGCCCTGTGACAGAATCTGGTAATTTGCTTGGTGAGAGAAAGAGGAAATTACCTTAGAATAAGATGGAGACCCCAGCTCCCCTAAAAGACAAGACTTGAAATCTCATGGAGCTGGGTGTTCCTAACACAGTTCTTGGATTTAAGAAGCCTGTAGACATACTTGTTTACGCTGTAGGCTCTTTCCTAATAGGGTTGCATTTGTTGTTTTATATACCCTTCTTGGCCCAGAAGTAGAGGGAGATCACTTTACAATGAGTACCTTTGACCTCTTGCAGCCTCGAGGTACTAACATCAGAGATTAGTAGCAGTTAGGTCACTTCTTAAGTGGGGCTAGCTGAAAACTGGTATGATGAAAACACAATACAGAGAGATCTCACATCTGTCTCAACTGATTGTCAGGGGCTTAACATAACTCGGTTTTGTAGACTGAGATACCTGAACAAGACCTATGGCATTTAAAAAAAAATAATTTATAAAGCTCCTATAATTCTTAGATAATAGGTGGATATTTGAATGGATGCTGAATAAATTACATTGGAAAAATTCCAGCCTCTAGATTTAGATAAGGTGAATCATATGTCCCCCAAATTAATTCAGGTTGAATTAAGCATGTAATATAAATAAATTCAGTGAATTACAAAAAGCAACATTTTGTGTAGGATTGATCAAATTGTAAATACAGTGAGACTTCATTATATATAATAGATGCAGACCCCCTGATTTCCCCATCACATAGAGAATTATCACTTAATGAAATAAAATGCTTATAAAGCAATGATTCTTCCTCAGATAATTTCCTTGTAAACAACTCCAAACCAGGGGTGCCTGAGCTAGATTTTAAACTTATAACGAAGTTTCATTGTATTTTTAAAACCTTTTTAATGGGTGTATTTGGACAAAAATAATCAACCTCCTTTTCACATTTTATGATGTGCAGGTATTCAGTTGCTTTTTACATGTGGAAAAGTTAGTCTGCATTTATTTTTAAATGCAGTTATTAAGACATTTTTGTATTCCCCATCAATGAAAATGTTCAGTGTGAACAAATGGTGAATCATAATCAAAACAGTTCAGTGCTTATTTTCTGTAGGTTTTAGCAAAAAAAATTTATAAACCACAAAATATTTGTACATCAAGATGGTAAATTTACATAAAGACTGCAAATTTCACCTTTCCCGTTGTCTCTGTTCAGAGTGCCATGCTTGCAACATTGATAGAAGGTGAACACTAGGCAACAGGTAGTAAAAGAAAAAGTCAATTTTCTACTGAAAAATTCAGGTACATTAGCCATTTGTTATTTTATGGTGGACCGTTCTCTCTTAATGTTCATTGTTATTTGTTGGCAAAATAAAAGTGCCTTAAGTTAAAAGTTTGTTTTGAGATCCATTAAAGAAATCAGTACCAGTTCATAATGCATTTATTTACAAGTCTTTTTTTTTTTGCATGTCCATTGTAAATTTAATATTGTAAATGTATTCCAATTCATTTACATGCCTATGGCTGCCTTTGATTAAACTTCTTCCAAAAAATAAACTCTGTCCAGATGTTGACTTTAATTTTATTTCATGTCAGATTACTTGAATATAAGTTGTTGCATAATCACTCCCAAGTGGATTCTTGGCTGTGCACTTGTATGTCCCAGAATCAGAGGTTTGGGGGTTCTGAATGACTAGGGTACCTTGTAGGTGAAGCAGCTCACTTCCGGGCATCCACCCTTTCCTTGCCCCTGAGAGCAGGGCATGCTTGGGCATCTCCCATGTGATTTCTGGCTTGGGAACTCCCAGGGCCACACAGTGGAGCTGAAAGGCTGCCCCTGTCCTTGTGAGGATGCTCCTGGGTGGGCGATTCGTGATTCGGGGAGGGTAAGCTACAATCATTACTGGAACAGTAACCAGTGCATGGCCAATACTGTTTTGAGCCTTACAGATATAGTTCCCCCTGTCATAAGCTGTTACTTCTTTGATGACTAAGGTGCCATTGTCATGCAGTGTGTATTTCCCGTGAATCTGAGGCCTGTCTACTACATAACCATTTGGCAGAGTCCATTGGATGTTTGGCTTAGGGACCCCATCAGACACACAAGGCAGTGATAGAGATTCTCCACTGATACTTTTTACTGTCCCTAGTGCATATGTTAGAATAACCGGTTTCTGACCAATTTCTAGTATGATCAGTTTCTCAATATAACCCACTTTATTTCTAGCTGCACAGCGGTATTTCCCAGCATCATCCCGAGTTGTTTTATAAATGATGAAAGAGCCATTGCTTGCTATCAGATACCGAGACTTCTGTGGCCCATTGTAAAATCGCATGCCATTAGGCAAAATCCAGATTATTTCCGGTGGTGGATTGCCATCAACAGAGCAATTTAGCACCGTGGGCTTCCCAAGCTGGGCAACTATTTTTTCATTAAACGGGTTTCTGAATGTCGGTCGTCTCAGCATTTCCAGTACTTCCAACTGTACCACCAACACGCTCTCTCCACCTTCGTTTCGAGCCACACAGATAAAATCGGCTGAATCTGAAAGTCTCACATTCCTGATTTCCAAGGTTCCATTTGTATGGACTGATACTCTGCTCCCATGGTATGGGGCAGTGAGGAGAATGTTGTCTGGCATGATCCACGTGACTTCGGGCGGCGGCGTGCCTTCAGCTCGGCAGTCGAAATGTTTTTTGGAATGTCTCACGGCTGTGGCCTTCATGACAGTTTTGTTTGTATATAGACCATTGATTAATGGAGGTTGAGAGACAACGTCCAGCTTGTACATCTTGGTGTCGTCTCCACTGGGATTTTGAGCCACACACACATACTCTCCAGAGTCCAGCAGCTTTGCTTTGTTGATGGACAGAGACCCATTGGCATAGAATGTGTACCTGTCATTGGAGAAGGAAATCATGTCATGGGAAGGCAGCAGCCAAAATATCTTCGGTTTGGGATCCCCAGTGACCTCACAGTTCAGGATGGCTGTGTCCCCAGCCTTGATTCTCACGTTGGTCTTGTGGCCCTGCCGTATCCGGGGTGCGGCTGTTATAACTGTCAAGTGGACCTTCATCTCGTCCTTCCCCAGGGTGTTCTGGGCGTAGCAAGTGTAATCTCCTTCCTCTGCTATCCCAACTCTGTTGAAGTATAAGGTGCCATTGTTGAAAAGTGTATACCGCCTGGTCCTGTGGCCACTGTCATCGGCTTGCATGACATTGTTGATCATCGTCCCATCGGGCAGACTCCAGGATATCTCGGGCACCGGGGAGCCCGAAGCTTTGCAATCAACTTGGAAGTCCTTCCCATGCAGCACCTGCTTTCGAAAATACTGCTTGTGGTCAATTTTGGCAGGCTTCAGGCTCAGGCTGACATGCATCAGTATCAAGTCATCCCCCATTTTGTTTCTTGCCACACACAAGTAGTCACCACCATCTTTTTCTGTCACTGAGCCAATAAACAGGGATCCGTTTGGGTAGACATAGATTCGGCTGCCCATTCTAAGGAGAAAAGAGACAAATTTGAGTGTAGCTATCAGGAATGGGGGAAGTTGTGTTTACTTGGGATTAGCTTCCCCTACCTTTACTGAAGCATGATGAACAAAAATTGTATATTTTTTGAGGCGTACAGCATGACATTTTGATATACATTGTAAAATGACTACCACAATAAAACTAATGTGTATATACACCACCTTGCATAGTTATCTGTGTGTGTGTGTGTACCTGCTGCCATAAAAATTAAAACCATGGCCAGCCATGGTGGCTCATGCATGTAATCCCAGCACTTTGGGAGACTGAGGTGGGAGGATTGCTTGAGCCCAGGAATTTGAGACCAGTCTGGGCAATATAACGAGACCATGTCTCTACAAAAAATAGAAAAATTAGTTGAGCATGGTGGTGTGCACTTGCAGTCCCAGCTATTTGGGAGACTGAGGTGGAAGAAGTCAAAGCTGCGATGAGCTGTGATCATGCCACTGCACTCCAGCCTGGATGACACAGACCCAACTCAAAAAATTAAAATTAAATCACTTATCACTAGCTTATTTTTTTTCTTCATTTCTTTCTTTCTTTCTTTTTTTTTGAGTTGGAGTCTCACTCTGTTGTCCAGGCTGGAGTGCAGTGGCACACTCACGGCCACCCACAGCCTCAACTTGCTGGGCTCAGGCGATCCTTCTGCCTCAGTCTTCCATGTAGCTGGAATTACAGGCATGTCTACCACACTCGGCTAATTTTTTGATTTATTGTAGAGACAAGATCTCTCTAAGTTGCCCAGGCTGGTCTCGAACCCCTGGACTCAGGCAATCCTCTCACCTCAGCCTCCCAAAGTGCTGGGATTACAGGCCAGCTTACTGTTTTCTGAGGAATTTACTGAAAGAAGAAATTATCTAACTGATCTGGTATAATTCAGTGCAGATAAGTGGTACTTCTTGGATGAACTTCAATCTTACAAAAATTTTAAAATTAAATATAAATAAAAACATTTGGGCGTCATTTTTCAGCTAGCCACAGGGGCATATAATTTGATATGTTGTTTTCATTTGCACTCAGTTCAAAACCCTTTCTAATTCTCATTTTGATTTTATTTGCCCCATTGGTTGTTTATAAATATGCTATTTTGTTTCCAATTAAATGGAAATTTCCCAAGGATCTTTCAGATTTTGAATTTTCATATAATAATTCATCTTTACATGGTAGTATTTTTTAAAATTTAATGAAGATGCTAAAAGTTTGGATTTCTAGACATTGACTTCTTTGACCATTTCACATATCAAACTAATGAATTCATTAAAATGATTATTTTGTAATATAGGTAAAGAAAAAAGAATTTTAAAAAATTCAGTTGCTCATAAAAGATGCCAGATGATAATTTTTAAAGTTATTAGTAACCAAAAAATTAGTGAATTATTTGGTTAGAAAATAAGTCCTACTTTGTTATAAAAAGTGAATACTGGCCAGGCATGGTAGCTCATATCTGTAATCCCAGCACTTTGGGAGGACAAGGCAGGAGGATTGCTTGAGCCTAGGAGTTTGACACCAGCCTAGGCAACATAGCAAGACCTCACCGCTGCAAAAAAAAAAAAAAAAAAAGTAGCTAGACATGACGGCACACACTTGTCTCAGCTACTCAGGAGGCTAAAGGATTGTCTGAGCCCAGCAGGTCAAGGCTGTGGGGAGCCGTGATCGTGCCACTGCACTCCAGCCTGGGTGAGAAAGCAAGACTCTGAATGAAAAGAAGAAAAAAGAAAGAGTGAATACCAATGTAAGGCTCATTAGAAGCTGTTGCAGCACCTGCCCTCCTTGAGTATCTGTGAGGCGACTGGTTTCTGCGCTAGTTGAATTTTGTGGAACCCTTGTCCCTCGTGTCCGGCTGCTGCACAGCCTGCCATTATCACATCTAACCACCAGATGGCAGATTCCTCCTGGCATAACTAAATCTAGTTTTTCACAAAGACCAGTGGAGACTGGAATTGCTGCTAAAAGTGTGCCAAGGACACCCATAGATGAAGATCTATGTGGATGTTTTGCTTGTTTTTTAGCAATATGGGCTAAGTAGGTAGATAAAATCGGATAGAAAAGTGAGGACTACTTTTCATAGCATAACTGCTAACCAAGTCAAACAACTTCAAGTCATTTTTATTTTCCAGCAAAGTACGGAAAGTGTTGCGATAAAATATTATAAGTGATGCTGTTTCTCCCCTCCCCCCACCCCCAAGTATGGGAGGAACTTCTCTGACATACAACAAGCTAAAGTCATCACAACGGATGCACTTAAAGGAAATGGAAACTGCCAGCTGCTTTGCACTGATTTTTTTAAAGCTTGGAGTAGTTCCCTATTTTACAGCTGCAAAACTGATATTGAGAGAGATGTAGTAATTTGCCTCAGGTTACAGGGCTGGTTCTCAAACCCTGTGCCTTCCACCACGCTGTACCGCTACCTGCTATTATTCTTTCGTAAGGCTTTCTACAAGTTTTGGTTCTCAAACTGGACTATACATTAAAATCACTTGTGGAGTTTAAAGTAATACAGACATCTGGGTGTCCCCTCCAGAATTTCTGACTTGATTGGTGTGGAGTGTGGCCTAGGCGTCATTAAAGTTTTCCAGATTCAACTTTTCCATGTGCAACAAAGTCTCAGAACCACTGCTTTAACTGCTGGTTGTCAATGAAAGTTCCCCAACACCTGAGTCAGAATTACCTGGTGCCAAATTTAAGATGCATATTCAAAAGTAAATGTTAATTTTCAAATTTTCCCAATAATAAGTCCATAAAATTACCTAAGTGTTAAATTGAAATTTAGATTTAAAACTTTTAAATTCTGGGGTTATAAAATGTGAACTTTAGAAACCATATATGTTTGTGTTTGTTGTCCACTGTACATATGTCCATTTATGGAATCAAATATTTTCAACACTTCACTGATCAGTTTTTGCATTTAATTGTACAATACTAGCACGCCTCAGTTTTGCTTTGTTTTGTTTCTTCAAGTTATTTTGAGCATTTCTGGGTTAATGAAAATCCATGTGCTGTGGAATTTATTTTAGATGCATTAATTTCATTAGATGCATTGAACTGGCATTCAGTGCTAATGAGGAGTGCTGACATTGTGAAATTAAATGTAAAAACTTAACAGTGAAGTGTTGGAAATATTTGATGCCATAAATGGGTATATATATGATAACAAACATAAAGTTCACATTTTATAACTCAGTATTTAAACTTTTTTTTTTTTTTGAGTTGGAGTTTCACTCTGTTGCCCAGGCTGGAGTGCTTTGGCACACTCATGGCCACCCCGGTGTTGACCTTCTGGGCTCTGGCGATCCTCCGCCTCAGCCTTTCAAGTAACTGGAACTACAGGTACATGGCTACCATGCCCGGCTAATTTTTGATTTATTATAGAGATGAGGTCTCGCCAAGTTGCCAGAGCTGGTCTCAAACCTACAAGCTCCCAAAGTGCTGGGATTACAGGCAGAGCCACCAAGCCTTGCCTAAACATTTTCAATCTAAATAATTTCAATTTAACATTTGTTTAGGTGATTTTGGTGACTTATTATTTAGAAAACTTGAAAATTAGCATTTACTCTTGAATTACAGATTACAAGTTAAATTTATTTACTATATTCACAACTAACTCATATTGTGGCACTAGAAAAAGTCTATTCTCCAATGTCTAAGCATGAATATAAATTAATTTTATATATAATTTCTCCTGCATGAATATTTTCTATTAATAAATACATAACATAGAAATGTTCATTCCCATCTTTTTTTGTCACGTTCGGGAAAATCATTGCATAAAGTCATGAATGGCAAAAATGAATAATTCATAAATTATATTTATTGATTTTCAAAGATGGAATTTAATCTATACAGAAAACCAGCTATAAGATAAATAGTTTTATGCCTAGAAAAGATCAACCTAGAGAAAGAATATATGTGGATATACATGTCTGACCCCATCGGGGTGGGGGACTTGGAATACATTTCATTTTGGGAAGGTCTTAATGTTGTGACTTTGATCAAGCACTTTGCAACTTTAGGAAAGAAAAAATTAAGTACTGGTGATAGGAAGTTGAAAATGTCTATAGGATACTCTGAAGAGTAATATAACAAAATGCATCTCTCCAGAACCTTGACTGCATCACAAAAATTCCCTTGTTTTCTTTGGACCTAGAGTGTATGAATACATTTATGCAGTTACTATTTTTAAACTGTCACAAATATGAAGGCAAATAAGATTTTTGTTCCTGTTTTAACTATAAAAACTAGAAGTTGGCCCTTACAGTTAAGCATATGAGAAGATTGTTTTTTATATTTAAATGCTCTCAAAGGAATTGAGTCTTACCTTTATGTCCAGAGACTTACCTTTATGTCCAAAGCCCATATATGCTCTAAACTGCTACTAGCCCCACAGTGTTACTTGTTTCTATTTTAGAAGTTGTGGCCAGATGTGGGGACTCACACCTGTAATCCCAGCACTATGGGAGACTGAGGTGAGAGGATTGCTTGAACCCAGGAGTTTGAGACCAGCCTGGGCAACATAGCAAGATCTCATCTCTACAAAAAAAAATATCTGGGTGTGGTGGTGCATGCCTGTAGTCTCAGTTACATAGGAAGTTGAGGTGGAAGGATTGCTGAGCCTGGGAGGTCAAGGCTGCAGTGAGCCACGATCATGCCAAGGCAATCTGGAGAGGCTGGGTGACAAAGTAAAACTCCAACCCCAAAAAACAACAACAAAAAGAATTTGTACAGCTCAATAGATGAAGCATATCACATTCCAACCCAAAGGTACAGGCCTACCTGTGCCTCTGGTCGACAACAGCATTGGATGGTAGCCTCCAGATGATTTTGGGTATGGGCTCCCCAGTGGCTGAGCAGTTCAGTAGTAATTTGTCTCCAAAATTCACCTCAGTCCTTCTCTGGGATGCAACTTCTATCCGGGGTATAGTCTCTCGTTCTTCCACCATGAGCATCACCACTCTTCTCTCCGAGCCAGTGGAACTGGTCGCGATACACTCATAAGTGCCCCTATCTGCAGAGGTGACGTGTCTCATATACAGAGTCCCATTTGAAAATAAGAACAACTTGGAATTGATGAGCTTTGATGGCTTCACTTCTGTACCATCAAAGAGGACCCAGTAAACACTGGGCTGAGGAGTTCCCTTTGCGGTACAGGGCAGTTTCAAACTGTCACCCCAAGTCACTACGACGACTTCCCTCTTTTGCTCTAGAATGACAGGTGGAGCTGCAATGACTTGTATTTTAACCAGCAGTGAATCCTGGCCAGCTGGGTTGCTGGCCACACATCTGTAAAAGCCACGGTCATAAATACTGAGATGGTGGATGACCAATGTTCCATCATGTGTCACCAGGGCCTGCCCATTTCCCTGGGATGATTCCGAGACCACTGTTTGGTTTGCCAGAATCCAGGAAATTGTAGGATTTGGCCTACCTTCCGCCCTGCACTTCAACTCCACAGTGCTTCCAGAATGCACTGTGATCTCTTTGGCACGTCTCTCCAGAATCCTGGGAGGATAGGAAACCACGGACAAGGTGACATGAAGGCGATCTGCGCCAAATGGATTGGACGCTGAGCACAGGTACTGTCCGCGGTCCTGAATGTCCACCCCCTGGATGGACAGAGTGCCGTTGGGGAGCACCTGGAACCTGCTATTCTGTTTCCTTTTAGACAAATCAAGTCCTGAGAAGAAGAAAGAAATGTGTGGTCATAGATTCACCAAAGTTTAGACACAAAACAAAGCTATCTTTTTGTTAGACTACTGAGAACAAACATTTAAACTAAAAATTAGGACATGTAGTCTTCAGATTGCTATAATTATTTCTGGATTTTTTTATTCGCATAATTTTAATTTAAAAGCCAGATGGTTCAACACAATGACCATTCTCTCTTTGTCACATCATAGTTCTTTGGATTAACTTTCAAAGCATTTCAAAAAAATGTTCTTAATTAACATGTTTTAAAATCTGATGAGCAGAAACAATGTACAAATGTCAAATGAGGATATTAATCGTTTCTGTATCTTGGAGAAATTTGAAACTGGTGTTGACTCTTTGAATGTGTAACCCCAAAACATACCACTCTTTTTCTTGTTTTATAAGTAACCAAGACTACGTGTAAAGAAACAGTTTCAAATACCTGATGAGACTCTGGTCCAGCGGACAGTAGGCGGGGGATTTCCAACAGCCTCACAGGGGAGAAATGCATCTGAGTTTGCTGAAACAGTAAAACTTGCAGCTTTTCCTCCAAGGATTCTGGGCTTTTCAAATGTATTCCTAGACAAAGAGTCAAAGGGAAGGCGTTTGAAAGTTGTTATTTTTTGGACTGGTTTCTTATCAAAGTCACTCTGCTTTGCATTTTTCTGTCCATCCCAATTTGAAGCGTGAGTGGAGGCATCTGGCAAGCCTGGGTTAGACAACATGTTTCTTACTGGTTTTCTGTTCTTTTCAGCAATTTCTGGGTATGACTTCTGCCAAAATTGGTTTTCTGACCAGGGAGACAGAGTCCATTTAGAATTCTGTGATTTCACTGTTGTTAATGCTGGCACAGAAGTAGAATGTAACAAATTAGGGGAGATAAAGCGAGTGGCTCCAATTGTGGTCTTGGCATTTATGTGAGCCTTGGGAGATGTTGCAACCTCTGCTGCTAATTGCTGTGGATTAGTCTCATGCCTGGAGGATCCATGTGGCTTGACCGCTGTATCTGCTGTCATCCTGAAAATGGGGGTTGCCACGTTGTCAGTAACTACACTCTGTGTAGCAGGAGGGGAGATGGGAATTGGCATTGGAGTAGACACAGTGGAGTGTCTGATGATTGTTTGCCCAGCTGTGGTGCTCTGGTGTGATTTTCTGGACAAAGCTACTTCAGAAGCAATTGTGCTCTTCAAAGTTTGAGTATTCATAGAGGCTAGTTCTCCAGTTGCACCTGTCAGATTAAGAGTTCTTGAATGCAGACCAGTTGTGCTTGAAATATCGATTGTGTTTTCTAGGGATGAATGAGTGAAAGCAAAGACATTGGGCTTGGAAGCTTCAGTGGTGGTTAGAACAGGTGGTGTCATCCCAGTGGACATGGTGAAGCCAGAACCATGGCCTGCAGTGATGTTTGGGTCACTCCTGTTCTTCTGAGACTTCTCTTCTCTTGGTACTTTTTGTGCCCCAGATCTCACTGTTTGGGTTTCATAGACAATGACAGATGCAGGGACAGGAGGAGGAGTTGCTGGTGTGGCTGTCTTCATTGATACAAAGCTTATGGTACCCAAGTCTTTGCTTGTGATACTAGGAAATGTCGGGTTGAGGGGTGGGATGGGCAGCTCCTTCACTGTTGGAAGACCCTCAGGACTGTGTGTTTCCATAGTATTGTGGTGAGTTGTCTCCAATGTTATAGATGGAGTTTGCATCACACTTGCTGAGAGTGTTGTGAAATGGAAGGTGGAAACTTTATTTGTGGGTAAAACAGGAGATATTCTAGGAAACATCACAGCTGTGCTTTTTTGTAAACCAAATTTATGCTGATTCCTTAATGTCTCTTTCTGGTTATGGTTATTTACAAAGCTCTGGTGCCAGGGAATTTTCCTTCTTGGAAATCTTGTGATAGCCATAGTAGTAGGTATTACTGGCTTGGTGATGGAACCTAAAAATGACGATGTCATTACTGAATCTCTTTTAGCTTCACTGGTGCTGGACACACTTGGGTAACCAATATTTGTTCTATGAGTTTTTTCCATAGATGTGGATATTGGGGTGTATGTCATGACTGCACCAGTTGAAGTCCCTTGGGTGTTTTCGGCACTGAAATACTTTATTGTGGGTGTTGTTTTCTCGATACCCACATTTGGTTTATTCTCAGATAGTGACGGTGGATTCTGGACTAGAGTTGCAGGCGCTTTGGATGTGACTCTGGCAATGTTGGCTTTGGGGAGGGAGATGGGAGAAGAACTTGGAAAAGACAATGCTGTCATAGCAGTAGTGAGTTTCTCTCTAGAAAGACAGGATGGGCATACTGCATCGAGCGCTGTGGCTGAAAATGCAACAGTGCTTCTTTCAGAACCTCTGAATGTTGGATGCAAAATGCCATATCTATGCCGTCGGAGAATTGGAGTTCTATATGGGCTGATAATTCGTCCACTGCCCCAAATTTTCCTCCGCCTCCCAAAGCGTCTAGACAGTGGGATGTTTGTTGTACTATTTCTAGGAATCTGAATCCGAGCATGAACAGCAGCAGTGTGCGGATCTGAAGGAACCTCAGAGGTGCTAAGTTGTTGGGTAGTGTGAGGATAGGAGTGATGGCTCCTGGGTTCATTGCCTCCTGTTACAGATGTCTGATGACCATTTGTGGTACTTACTGACTCTAAGAATACATCAGCTTCATTGTTAATGATACTGGCATCTTTGATTGTGGTCCTTGCTGTTATTGGGGGTGCACTTTGGAAGTGCTCTCTTCTTTCCCCTATCTGGTCAACATCCTGCAATTCGGTTCCTTCAGGTAATAGTGGAAGGACAGTGGGTGAATGTTGATTGGTTGTGCTTCGAATTTTGCTGGACACGACTGGGTTTATAGTCTTTGATGTGGCTGTTATTTTAAAAGCAGTAGGCAGTCTGAAATCTCTACGTTTTTCAGATGGTAGTATTTGTGAACTCAAAATTGGGGAGAAGTCTGTGTCAGAAGTTTTATTTGTCACAAGGCTCTCAGATATCTTTCTGGAGGCAGCTGTCACTGTCCTTGCTGGAACATCTGAAGCTTTAGTGGCCAGGACCATCAATTCCTCATCTGGAGTGAGCATGCCTGAAGAATCCTCTTCCTCACCAGGTGTTTTCAAGAATTGGGTACCTGGTGGGGGTGGCCTGACTGTGGTATTTGCTCGTTTCTCTGACACTGCGTTCTTTTTAGCTTTCTCCATAAGTGCCGCCCAGTGCTGTGGGTCAATTCTCCTAGCAGAGGGAGGGAACTGCCTTCTGTGCTCCCTCAAACGTCGGTGTGTTGGATCTACACGCCGCTGGTGTACTAAGTCCTGATAGTTGTGCTTCTTACCCATGCTTGAGACTTGTTTTCCAACCTCAGCCCCCAGTGGAGCAGATGTAGGGAGCTGTACACTTGATGGCTTCTCCAGGTGAGCAGTAGGATAGGACTCCTCAAGTCCAGATCCTTCTGTTTCTCCATCATGCTCCACTGGTCTTTGCCCTTTTCTTTTGACAGAAACTTGGAAAATCAAAAAATCGACCCCTGATGGGTTGGCTGCTACACAACGATATTGACCTGCGTCTTTTTGGGTGACCTGTAATAGTCTTAATGTACCGTTGCTAAGAATGTGCTTGTCTCTTGAAGACTGATAGAACACAGTGTTTCCTGGAAGAATCCAGCTAATAGAGGCATCTGGGACAGCAGTAGAATGGCATGGAAGATCGAGTGTTTCACCAGTGAAAACTGTGTGATGAACCCCGTTTTCTTGATAGGCTTCTACAGAGGACTCCACCACAGTTATCCTATAGGGGAGAGTATCTGCATCATCATAATTGGTACTTATGCAATGGTATATGCCTGTGTCATAACTGTCAGCCATCTGGAGTTCCAGCTTTCCACTTTTGTCTATTAGGATTCGTCCATCCTCACTAACATAAGGGGCTCTCACTTTACTCCCATCAGCTAGAAGCCATTCCAAATGTGGCATGGGGTCTCCTCGGCCTGGACAGTCCAGTTCAATAGTTCCACCTACCAAAACAGTGTGTTCCAGCTTCGTATTATTATCTCTTGAAATCATGGTCCATTTGTGTTTCACTGGCCTCATCTCTGCCTTTGATAAAGTGATGTGAGCATCACCTGAGTACTGGATCTGTAATGTACTGAGTGTGGTGGCTGTTCTGTTCAGTTGCAAGGAAACGTGGTCTTGCATTAACCAAGAGGGATCTGCTCTGAGGTCAGCCTCTATGTTGGTAAAAATGTCTTCAGGCCTAGGAGCCAACTGTTTATATTTGTAACAGAGCTGTGGTGTTTTGGAGACCAAGTGACTCCTTTCTAGTGTCAGCGGAGAGTCACTGTACAAAGCCAGAACTCGCCACACTGACTGAATGTGACTGTAGTCTATGCTGCACACCAGAAATGTTGAAAATGATGTATTTAGCATGATAGAGTCATCTTCTTCAGCGAATGCAACAGGTGACATCCTCGAGGGCTTTTGGATACTACAGACCATGTTAGCTTCATTTCCAGACTGGTCTGTCATATTTATAATGAGGGAGCCAAAGGGTGCCATGAAGTCTTGGGGAGAGACTGAGGCAGAACTGGTGTCTTCCAGAATAGTCAGGCTCTTTGATTTCAAGGACGGGTCGATGGTTGGCTTGATACACAGGAAAGCTGCAGCAGGAACTGTGGCTAAGGGTTTGCCTTTAGAGGGTCTGGGGTTCATGCAAAGTGGACACTGTTGAGAACTGGAGGGACTTCTCTCTTTTTTACATTTTATTACATCTGGGGAAAAAATATCACAATTGAGCAGCCTCTTTATATTCATAAACATTCAAACATTTTAAAGAAGTAACTTTTGTTAGCGTTTGAAAGAATTTGGAAATTTTTAGTGTCTATATAAAGTTTTCTTTTTTTTGCTTCAGAATTGATTTTTTAAAAAACACATGGCCTATATATCCAGCTGCAATAGAATAGTCACAGGCATGGGGTTTCATCTGTCTTATTCACTGCTGTATGCCCCAGGTCTAGAAAATGCCTGATATATATTTAATACTCAGTAAATATGAATTGAATGAGTCATTTCCCTCTCTAGGGAAACAAAATGGTATGCTCATGTTTGTCATGTTTTATTAATAGCAACTTATTTCTATTTCCTCACTTTAATGTTTTAAAACAGTCATAGAACTGCATTGCTCCTTCAAGGATAACCTGTTTGATAAATGATCACTTATAAGTCCTCGGATATCATTAAAGTGCCAAGTCCCTTTCCATTAACCACAAGGATATTGACTAACATACACAGTGTCCTGACCCAGTCTTGCTTAGAAGCAATAGGAGTGGAGAGAAGCAGATGGATGCAAGAGTTCATGAAGCAGGTAGAACCAATGGATAGGAGGTGAGGATTGATCAAACATGGAAGGGAATTGAAAGGAAGAGTCAAGGAAGACTTGGGCTAATGACTTTGGTAACCGGATGGCTGATGGTCCCCTTGGTTGAGGTAGACTCACTGGAGAAGGATCCAGTTTGCATTGTGCTGAAGCAATGTGGCAGCCCATTGAAGGCCTGACATTCTAGTGAAGTAGGAGATTTCAAGTCTTGCAGCACGGGGGCCAGTGCTATAAGAGCCAGCCTTTGAAACCACAGAAGTGTCCTTCTTCAGGTATTTGAATACCACATGCTTGGGCATTTTAAGAACATTGCTCTGATGAACCTATTTTATTTTATTTTACTTTATGAGTTGGGGTCTCACTGTTACTGTTACCCAGGCTGAAGCACAGTGGCATGATCATAGCTCAGATGATCCTCCTGGGCTCAGATGATCCTTCTGTCTCAGACTCCTGAGTAGCTGAAACTACAGGCACATGCCACCAAGCCCAGCTAATTTTTTGAATTTTTGGAGAGACGAGGTCTTGCTATGTTCAAGATCAGCTAAGGCTAGTCTTGAACTCCTAGGCTCAAGCATTCCTTCTACCTCGGCCTCCCAAAGTGCTGGGATTACAAGAGTAAGCCACCATGACCAGCCATGACCAGCCATGATGACCCTGTTTGAAATGGCTGGTAACTGGAATGCTTGCCAGAGGTATGGAGTTTTCCCTTCCACAACATACAGACTGAGACTTCCTTACTGTTCTCATATCATACACTGAACATAGTACATAAGAGGAGCATTGTACTTCTTAAGAGATCTAATTTGTCAAAGTGGCTAGACAGGGTCAAATTTTTTTCCCATGTGCACACACTTCCTCTCAAGGCTTAAGAACATCACTCTGGACTGGGTGTGGTGGCTCAGCCTATAATCCCAGCACTTTGGGAGGCCATGAAAAGAGGATTGCCTGAGCCTGGGGGTTTGAGACCAGCCTGGACAACTTGGTGAGACCTCGTCTCTACAATAAATCACAAAAACTAGCCAGGTGTGGTGACGTGCATCTGTAGTTCCAGCTACTTGGAAGGTTGAGGCAGAAGGATCACCTAAGCCCAGCAGGTTGAAGCTGTGGTGGCCGTGAGCATGCCACTGCACTCCAGCCTGGATGACAAGAGTGAGATTCCAACTCAAAAAAAAAAAAGGACCATCACTCTGACCAAGGACTCCAAACACTTCAGCATGTACCCGTCTACCATAGGTGATGTCACAGACATCTGGCCAGTCAGCATTCTTACAGCAAATTTTACATTCTAAACCTACACAGAAGTAGGAGATAGCAAGACTGAAAACCTTTGAACAGTCTTAAGAGGTGGCTCCCAATCACCCACTTGCCAACAAGCTACTTATCAAATCCCTGGGCTCAGAACCTGCAGAGAACATGGCTGACTGTGTTAAACCTCATGGAGAATTATGCTCACATCTTGGCATGCTTACTATTGCTTGCACTGGACCAGAGTTAGCAGGCCTTGGACATCAGGCATTTTGCCTCAAATACAAACCTAATCACATCACTTCATTTCTTCCATCACACTAGATTTCAGCCTCATGGAAATACTTTCCATTCCTTGGTCCTGCCATGTCCTATCAGGCTCTCTTCTACTTCCCAAGCACTTATTGTCTTTCCTAACCACCCAAGTTCTTACCAATCATCCTTCAGGCCCCAGCCTGGAAAGCAGGCTTTCTGCTTCACCATCTTGTGGTACCTTTCACTTCTCCTGTCCTGCCCTTCATTACTCAGTTAGGATGCCGTGTTTAGTTGTCTGTCTTCTTGTGAGATCGTAAGCTTTATGCTTGTTCACCTGTGTATCCCCAGTCCTGGCCAATGGATGCCCAGGAAAGATCAGTAGAAGAGAAAAAGCAGGCAAGGAGGCAGGCAGACAAGAAAAACATGCCTAATTCAAAGATCATGTTTTCTTCACATTTCAACTTACAAATTGAGATGTGTCTTACCAATGAAGGTGTTCACAGTAGCAGCTAATGAGCTGGCAATCTTAATATAGCTATCACTGCTTGTGCACCCACAAGTAGCTATTTATACTATTTTCTCTTCAATTGTGTCACATGAATTGGTGGCACTACATATGTTAATTTTGTCACTTAAAATATTCTTAAGATTACATTCTCATTTGGCATTAAAACAAGCTGATAGATATGTAGAAAGGCATGGAAACAGCAGCAGGACATACATTTAATATTCATGAAACAGTCTGGATGCAGTGACTCACGCCTATAATCCCAGTACTTTGGGAGGCCAAGGCAGGAGGACTTCTTGAGCTCAGGAATTTGAGACCAGCCTGGGAAACACAGTGAGACCTTCGTCGCTACAAAAATAAATAAATTAGCCAGGCATAGTGGTGTGTGCCTGTAGACCCAGCTATTTAGGAGGCTCGAGTGGAAGAACCACCTGAGCCCAGAAGGTTCAGGCTGTAGTGCCATGATTGTGCCACTGCTATTTAGGAGGCTCGGGTGGAAGAACACCTGAGCCCAGAAGGTTGAGGCTGTAGTGCCATGATTGTGCCACTGCACTCCAGCCTGGGTGACAGAGTGAGACCCTGACTCAAATGTTGGTCAGAGAAATGCCCATAAATCCATAATTGATAGAAATGCAACACCAACAGCTTTGTGGAACCAAAGAATGAAAGCTACCCAAAGTAGATGCAGAAGTGTTACATTTAAATACTGAGATAGGTGCAAAATGATTGCCTGTCACATGCCAAGTGAGGCAACTGAAGGCATAAATAACTGTCAAATCTCTTGGAATAGGTGAAAAAAAATTCAGAGCACAAGAAATTGGTGTGACTAATTCATGGGTCATGTAAAATTATCACAAGCCTTGTCAAAAGGAGAACACTTGATTATTCAGGACTGAAAGCTGTTAGCCCTAGTGGATGTGTCTAATTATTCTACGTATATACAGTCATGTGTTGATTAAGGACAGGAATATGCTCTGAGAAATACATCGTTGGGTGCTTTGTCTTGTGTGAACTTTGTCTTGTGGGAAGAGTGTACTTACATACACCTGCACACCTAGGCTATATGGTCTAGCCTATTGCTCCAAGGCTACAAACCCATACAGTGTGTTACTATACTGAATACTGGAGTTAACTATACCACAATGGTAAGTATTTGTATATCTAAACCATGGAAAAGGTGTTGTGTTGTTACATTATGATGGCTAGTACGTCAGTAGGTGATAGGAGATTTTCAGCCCTATTATAATTTTTTTTTTTTTTTTTTTTTTTTTTACTCACAGGGCTTGCTATAGCCTTAAACTACTAGGCTCAGGTGACCCTTTCCGCCTCATTCTCCTGAGTAGCTGGGGCTACAGTTGCATGCCAACACACTCAGCTAGTTAAAAACATTTTTAAAAAAAATAGAGATAGTGTCTGGCTATTTTGCCGAGGTTGGTCTTGAGCTCCTGGCCTCAATCCTCCCACCTGGACCTCCTAAAGTGCTAGGATTATAGGTGTGAGCCACCACATCCAGCTTCCCTTTATAATCGTAAGGGACCATTTTCATATATGCTGCCCACTGTTGACCTAAACGTCATTTTGCAGTGCATGGCTGTATGTGCATGAAAATGTGTATGTACATATGACACATGCATATAGGTATATGATGTGTGTGAATAATATATACACACACAAGTCTGGGACATATTAAGACCATCGGAAGCTGGGCTCGGTGGCTCAGCCTGTAATCCTGCGCCTTTGGGAGGCTGAGGTGAGTGGATTGCCTGAGCCCGTGGGTTCGAGACCCGCCTGGGCAGGCGAGACCTCATCTCTACAATAAATCAAAAAAAAAAATCAGCTGGGCGTGGTAGCACGCGCCTGTAGTTCCAGCTACATGGAAGGCTGAGGCGGAAGGATCGCCGGAGCCCAGCAGGTCGAGGCTGCGGTGGCCGGGAGCGGCCACTGCACTCCAGTCTGGGCGACAGAGTGAGACTCCAACTCAAAAAAAAAAGACCATTGGTATCCAGTGGGTGGGTGGTGGGCTCATTTATAGTCACCATCAAAATGGCTATAGAATTGACAAATGCATAGTTTAACAAAAATGACTGAGCACCTACCTAGTCTAGGGACTAGGGAAAGATAAATTAGACATGAGAAAGGCAACAAACATCTAATACTAGTAAATATAGTAAAATGTTATATTTTCAAGAATGGAAGCTTGGGCATACAACAGAAGTGGTGACATGGTTATTCTGATGTGGATGGGGTGAGTGGAGAAGCAACCCGACTCCCCAAGAAGCATGAGTGCTGAGCAGAGTTTGCTGGCTGCTGGGAGCTCCCCAAGCAGGAAGGGAAAGGCTCCAGACAGGGGGTGCAGCAGGCAGAAAGGGAGTCAGACCAGTTTGTGGTGTGTCAGGAAGTGGATCAGGGTCGGTAGAGCAAAAAGTGCCTGTGTATCTGGGATGGAGAGGGGCTGAGGGTTGGAGAAGAAGGAAATGAGGCTGGGGAGAGGCTGGCACCACACTAGAGGGATCTGGCATTTGGACTAAGGAGTACGGGATTTATTCTCTAGAATAAGTGATGGGGAAATTTTTGCAGAAAAACGTAAGCAGGGGATTAAATTGTCATGTTAGAGCTCAGCAGTAACTGTGAGGCAGAATGGATCTGGTTGTCAAGATCACGAAGAAAAGAAGGTAGGTCAGGAGTCAAGGATACAGCGGGCTAAGGAGCATGAAATTTATTCTCTAAGCCAGCGGTCAGCACACTTTATATGTAAAAAGCCAGAGACTAAGGATTTTAGGCTTCGTGGATCATAGGTCTCCAACACAACTACTTGACTATGCCATCGCAGCAAAAATGCAGCCATAGACAATGCATAAAGAATTCACGATTCCTGAATTATTATTGAGACGTCATTTTCTCTACGCCTAAATTACCCTGGCCTCTTCCCTTACTAATAAAATATCGTCAGGCAGCTTTTCCTCTATTTAACTAGTACCAAAACAAAAAGTACAGATACCTGGTTTCTCCTGTATCCAGTCAGATAACCATTTTAAATGGCAATCACAGGTCCATGGGTTCCCGTGTAGATAAAGGCTTTCTAGGTCAGGCATATAGGAGAACATCTCTTGAGGGAGAGAGGTCAGGTAGTTTTCAGACAAGTACAAATACTTAATGAAAGATGTTTTAAATATCTGGAGGTAGCTTAAAGAAACAAATGTATCTGGATGGAGCTTCATGAGCTGATTTCCTTCCAATTGCACCAGGCGGAGAAAGTTGAGTCCATAGAAAACCTCTGGGTTTATAAACTCAATATTGTTGTGGTCCATATGCAATCGTGTCAAGCTCCTGAGGCCATAAAAAGTATCTTTCTGAAGTGTTCGAACTTTATTATAGCTCATTTTTAAGACCTAAGAATAAAAAGAACACATTTATTTATCAAAAGAATTTTTACAAAAGGGAAAACTGTATCCATAAGAAAGCATATGGGAAGGACCAAAAAACCCTGGAATTTATTCATAAAAAATGTATATTTGTTCTTACATGTTTAAACTTTAGTCACCTTCAAAGTACTTTCTGTCTTATGCAATACACCTATTAGAACACTTTTTCCACTGCTCAAAGCAGTTTTTTTAACTTGTCAATTTTGATGCCTTTTAGTGCTTCTGCTGTTTTTGTTTCACCTCTTCTACATTGGCAAAATCCTTCCCTTTGAGGACTTTTTTCATTCAGAGAAACAGAAAAGGTCACTTGGGCTGAGATTGGGTGAATAAGGAGGGTGGAGCACAAAGAGCATGACATTTTTGGTCAAAAACTGCTGAACACTCAGCATGCATGGTGTGGGTAGGTATGCTGTTATGGTAGAAGAACCAGTCACCTGTTTGCCACAACTCGGGACGTTTCTTCCACAACAGCCTCTCACAACAACTCTAACTGGTACTATGCTGATGAGTTCCTAGAACACTTTCCTAGTGGGAGAAGCCTGTACTTCCTGGGACCCACCCTCTAAAAGATAATTTTTTAGGTACCCTCTCGAATGTTGAGATTAATGCAATGCAATCTGTGTATCTTTTTTGGACTCTAATTTAAACAAAGAAGTTACAAATTAAATATGATAGTATCTAAGAAATTAGGATACTCGTGAGCATTTCCTGATATTAAGGAATTATTACTAAGATTATAAACTATATTAATGATATTGTGTGTGTGTGTGTGTGTGTGTGTGTGTGTGTGTGTGTGTGTGTGTGTGTGTAATTTATTTATTTTTAAAGATAGGGTCTCACTTTGTCACCCAGGCTGAAGTGTGACGGTGCAATCACAGCTTCACTGCAACCTCAACCTTCTGGGCTCAAGTGATTCTCCCACTTCAACCTTCCAAACAACTAGGACTATAGGTGTACCCCACCATATCTGGCTAACTTCCTTTTCCTTTCTTTTTTTTTTTTTTTTTTTTGAGACAGGGTTTCACTCTGTCACTCAGCCTGGAGTGCAGTAGCATGATCACGGCTCACTGCAGCCTCAAACTCCTGAACTCAAGCAATCCTCCTGGCTCAGCTTCCTGAATAGCTGGGACTATAGGCATGCACCACCATGCTGATTTTCCTGTTTTTTTATAGAGTTGGGAGTTTTGCTTTGTTGCTCAGGCTGTTCTTGAACTCCTGGCCTCAAGCAATTCTCTTGCCTCAGCCTCCTGAAGTGCTGAGATTATAGGCATGAGCCATTGCACCTGGCCTGTGGTTATTTCTAAAAGGTTTTTAAACTTTGAGATAGATATTGAAGTGTTTACAGATGAAACATAATAAGAACTTGGATTTGTTTCAAAACAACTCAATAGAGTAGAGAATAGTGGGTGCGGGTGCAGGTGAGATGAGATCTGTTATGTGTTGGTAACTATTGCAGCTGGATGATGATATATTGGAGTTCATTATGTTATTCTCTTTACTTTTGTATATGGTTGAAAATTTCCATAATAAGATTTTTTTAAAAAGTATCTTAGTTGCAGGTTCGAGACCCGCCTGGGCAGCGAGACCTCATCTCTACAATAAATCAAAAAATCAGCCGGGCATGGTAGCGCATGCCTGTAATTCCGGCTCCTCGGAAGGCTGACGCGGAAGGATCGCTGGAGCCCAGCAGGCGAGGCTGCGGTGGCCGGGAGCGGCCCCTGCATTCCAGTTTGGGTGACAGAGTGAGACTCCAACTCAAAAAAAAAAAAAAAAAAAAAGTATCTTAGTCATGTGCAGTGGATCACACCTGTAATCCCAATACTTTGAGAGGGTGGCTTTAGCCTAGGAGTTCAAGACCAGCCTCAGCAACAGAGCAAGATATTGTCTCTATTATATATATATATATTTTTTTTTTTTTTTCAAGTAAACTTAAGATTCATTGAGTTTTTCATAAGAGAGTCTGTTGGTTTAGTTTATTGAAATATATTTCACATGCCAAAAAATTCATCTTTTTAATACGTACAATTTATTGGTTTTTAGCATATTCAGAGTTGTGCAACCATCTCTATTAATTTTAGAAAATTTTCATTGCCTCAAAATAAAAACTGATACCTATCAGTAGTAATTTTCCTCCTCCTCCTAGCCTACACAACCACTAATTTATTTTCTGTTTCTACAGATTTGCCTGTTCTGGTATTTTATATAAATGAAATTATACAATAGGTGGCCTTTTGTGTCTATCTTCTTTTACTTAGCAAAATGTTTCCAAGACCCACCCTTACGATAGTATGTATCAGTCTTATATCCTTTTCTTTGCAGAATAGTATTCCACCGTCTGCATGTACCTAATTTTGTTTATCTGTGCATCCATTGAGGGACATTTGGGGTGTTTCCTAATTTTTGGTTATGAGTAATATGATTGTTATTGAGTTGAAATTAAAATAATTTTGAATATTTCAGTAATGCATAGTAGCCTCCAATTTCCTTTCCAGTTGAATATATTTCTTACTAGTTGAACATACTCTTTTCCCAAAAAAGAAAAAAGAAATACAAATAAGAACAATGATTTCTCATCATATTTTCCTGACTTGGCCTAAGCTGTCACCTCTGTTGAAGATGCTTTTCTGAAATGCCAACATCCCTGAGAAGAAAAGAAACATTAAATTGGCAACATAGAAGAGCTTGCCTCAAATGTTACCTGGGAATACAATTTCCAACTCAGTGTTCTTCAATATCAATTGAAAACCTGGTCAAGAGAATAAGTATATGTAGAGAATTCCATGAAGGACATGCAGTCTATCTATTCCTCTGAAGACATACATTCCAAATTAAGCCACAGCAACAGAATCCTATATTATATTCTCTTGCTCCCCACTGTGGTTACAACCTTCCTTCCATAGCTCTAGGATACATTAAAAGGCTCTGTGAATCCCAGCACTTTATTTTTTTACAAAGATATTATTGACTTAATTTTATTACATGGTATTGTATAAGGAGCTTTGTAAGACATTTCTGATTTAAAAATCAGAAATGGTTGTACCACTCCTGAACAGTAGTATTTTTTATTTTGAAATTTTAATAGACATCAAGTATTATGACTTAATGTCTCAAAAGCTTCAAGGCCTACTTATAGCAGACATAATGGTCTCTATGTATACCTTTTCTCATAGTGCTTGTATTCTTATCCCTAGACTTGTTATAACTTTTACTTTCTCATTTACTTGGGTGATCATCCTTATAACATTTTATGCATTGTTAGGAGTCCCCATGACTTAAAAACATTGTTTGAACAAGGCAGGGCATAAATAAGTAAGGTGAAACTGGGAGGAAAAAAAAAAGCATATTGATTTATAGAAAGTTAACACCTGTCTAAGATAGTCATTATTTTTAGGAAACACATGCAATTTCCAGATAAATGTGACTAGAAGCAACCTTTTAGAATTCAATTTTAAACATTCATTAATCCCTGAGTATTGTTTTTTTTTTCCTATTAGTCCGAGATATAAGAAAACTTGCCTCAGAATGTTCTTATTGTTCTAATTTCCATATACAGTTGCATTTAAAAAGAAATCAGTTATTTGACAATCCTTTTTGATGTCTGCTTCTATTTTACAGAATGTTTCTTTTTGGATTCTGTATGGATGGGCGGCCTTTGAGGGTCCATCTCACAGGTCCCACCTCCCCTCCTTAGCCTACCCACTCTGTCCACCGGTCTCACCTGCAAGGCCTGCAGATCCGAAAACGTCTTATCAGGGATTGTGTGAATGCCATTGCTGTGCAGCATGAGTAACTCCAATTTGTTCAGGCCAGAAAAGTCTGTCTCTATCAATCTGGCCAAGCTGTTGTACCTGAAATAAGAAGTGTCATTCTAGGCACAAGCAAAGTCTGTCAATTAATGCTCAATACCAAAGCAAAGACACACACACACACACACACACACACACACACCCTATACCTTTCATTTTAAGTGTGCCCTCCTATGATAATCAAATGCCTGAAATATTACTGAAATTCACCAGATGCCAAAGGTCACTCTGTACTTAGTCCTTGCAATCTCAGTTACAACCACAGTATTCATGTTCCTAGAACTTGCCACATCCCTTCTCATTTTTAAACTTTCAAGTGTAAATGATTCCTTCAGGTTGGAATGTCCTTGCCTCTACCTTTTTCTATTTGTGAACACTTTTAAGACCCAGTTCATTTTTTTTGTTTTTTGAGTTGGAGTTTCACTCTGTCGCCCAGACTGGAGTACAGTGGCATGCTCCCGGCCACTGCAGCCTCGACCTGCTGGGCTCTGACGATTCTTCTGCCTCAGCTTTCCAAGTAGCTGGAACGACAGGTGCGTGCTACCACACCCAGCTCATTTTTGATTTATTGTAGAGATGAGGTCTTGCCAAGTTGCCCAGGTGGGTCTTGAACCCACAAGCTCAGGCAATACACTCATCTCGGCCTCCCAAAATTCTGGGATTACAGGCTGCGCCACCAAGCCCGACCCAGCTCATTTTTTTAATGACACTGTCCCCTCACGCTCCCAGGTGGAATTCATCAGTAGCGGTGAAGAAACTGAGCTTTGGAGCCCAGGCTAGGGCTTTTGCTTTGGGTATGATGAAGAGCTCAGGCTCAACTTAGTCGTTGTGCAACCTGAGTAAAATCAGTAAGTTTTCTGTGTCCCAGTTTTCTCATCCATGAAATGCAGATAATAGAACCCACTCCAAGGAGGTTATAAGGACTAAATGTGTAAATACTTGTAGAGTGTTTAGCCCAATGCCAGGACATAGTAAGCACACAATGTTACTACTATTATTAGCGATTGTTCCCAAGGTGCTTGGTACGTATTGCAGTTCGTATTAAATTGTACTCACTGGGCATGTTTTCTCTCTTTAACTATAGCTTCTCAAAGTAAAAAATGTATCCTGTTCATCATTGCACCCCCAATGCCAGCCATTGTGCTTGGCACATAGTAGAGGCTCACTAATGCCAAATAAATGGCATTAAGTCCAACTTCATGCGCATACACACACACACACACACACACTTCATGAACCTTTATAATACAATTTTCTTTGGGCAGATTTAATTACATATGCATTTTAAATAATTTTGTACTAAAAGAAGTCAAAGGGCCTTAAAAAAGAATATGGCAGACTTTTCATATTTTTTTACACAAGAGGACACTTCCAATTGCCCTATCATCTTTTACGATATATCATATTCTTGATTCCTAACAGTAGGTGTAGTATTTTCTAGTGAGAATGTGGCAAAGGAAGCTTTTCTACAATCATGGGCTTCCCAACCTACCAAGAGGGCCTTCAAATTCTAGAATAACTTTCTCCTAGCAAAACTTTACCAGGAAACATTTCCTTAATGCTCCCAACAAACTTAAGATTCTCATGAGCTCATTTCAGAAGATAAATATCATTAAAATGATTGCGGCTAATCTTCCAAAGTCACGGGTGATTAAGGAACAAGTCACCAGTGTGACTGATCCCTCCCTAAGAAGGGGATAAGACAGGGTTCCACACACCCTAAATTGATGCGTTCCACGTTGGGCGGGATGCCGTCTGGGATGGAAGTCAGGTACCGAAATGTGCAGTGTACCTCTGTAGACATGTAACAGGCACAGCGACGGGGACAGGCCCTGCCCCCGGGCATGACCACCACGCAGATCACAGCAAAGGAGACCAGCAAGCAGGTGATTCCTTTGCCTTTCACCTTCATTCTGAAAAAGCATCACACCTAGAAGTTAGAAATACGGTTCTAGTACCAGGCCTACCACACACAGTAGCTCTGGGAATCTCGGAGACCTTCCTTAAGGGTTGCAAGTGGTCAATTTCTTTCATACCTTTCATGGTAAAACACACTCTTTACAAAACCATAATGTGCACCAGCCTCACACTGAGTTTTGTGCTCAAGTGGGATATTTATTGTTGTGAAAATTTCTTCACAGCTTCTCACTCCTAAACAAAAAGCAGCAATCTCTTTTACTTAGGGATGGATTCATAAAAAGGAAAAGTAGATGCCTTAATGAAGGTCTTGTGACAACTGAAATACATAAGGTTTAGTTCCCTTTGGATACATTAGTTCTTTCGGGAAAACTGATTATAAAAGTAATACATGGAGCCAGGCTCAGTGGCTTAGCCTGTAATCCCGCGCCTTTGGGAGGCTGAGGTGAATGGATTGAATGGATTGCCTGAGCCCGCGGGTTTGAGACCCGCCTGGGCAGCGAGACCTCATCTCTACAATAAATCAAAAAATCAGCTGGGCGTGGTAGCGCATGCCTGTAATTCCGGCTACCTGGAAGGCTGAGGCAGAAGGATCGCCAGAGCCCAGCAGGTCGAGGCTGCGGTGGCCGGGATGGCCACTGCACTCCAGTCTGGGTGACAGAGTGAGACTCCAACTCATTAAAAAAAAAAAAAAAAAAGTAATTCATGTGCAGCATAGAAATATTGGAAACTGAGTAGAAAAAAAATGACTCAATTTCACCATTCAGATATAATCCTTAACATTTTACTATTCCAGCCTTTTTTTTTGATGAGGAGGAGGGGTCTCACTCTGTCACTCAGGCTGGAGTGCAGTGGCACGATCACCGCTCACCATAACGTTGACCTCCTGGGCTCAGGTGATCCTTCTGCCTCAGCCTCCCTAGCAACTGGGACCACAGGCACACACCACCACACTCAGTTAACTTTTTGATTTTTTGTAGAGACGAGTTCTTACTATGTTGCCTAGGCTGGTCTCCAAATCCTGGACTCAAGCAATACTCCTGCCTTGCCTCTCAAAGTACTAGTATTACAGGTGTGAGCCACCATACCTGGTCCCTTTTCAGCCTTTTAATATATTGTGTTTATATGTATACATATCTATACATTTATGTGGGTATGTATATATATGATCATACAATTCTACAATATATTTTATCACTTAATGTGTAAGTATATTTTTTCATTTTATGAAACCTTCTTCAAAAACATTTTTAAAGCTATAATAATCCACTGGAAGGGAGAATAAATCTCTTTCTAACAGGTTTTCAAGTTCTTGCCAAAAAAGACACACTGGACACTTCACTGCCAAGTAGTGACCACAAGCAACAGTAACTGACCAGGAGACTTGAGTCTTGGACACTCACTGCAGTGGGCCATGCTGACCTTGTGCAGGCATGGTGCTGACTGCTTTTGATCTGCTTAGAACATCTCTCTGCCTCCTTCCTTGGTTTCCTCTCCCCCTCATGTCTGTCACAGGAGGGTGGGGGGAGCATGAGTAGGGAAGAAATGTGCTCAGCTTGTGGAGAAAATGATATCTGTTACCCACATGTGGGACAAGCCCAGAGATCCGAACCTAAGTCTCTCCTGAAATGCAGAACACATAAGGGTTGAAATAAACTATTATGCTTTTTCTAAGAAACGTGACCTTCATAGTTTAGAAATCTCAATGTTCCCTGGAATAGCATTGTTCTGGATTTTACCAATAACCATCCTTTAGCTATAAACTATGCTAGAAATAACAGAGACTGATTTGCTTGCATCTTCATGTAGATAAAGATGATGGAATTGTTAGTAGTATTTAGCCCACATTAAAATTTCACATAGGATTAGTCGCATGACCACTTTTGTCACTGTCACCTGGTTACAAAGATTTTAAACAAGTTTTATGATTGGAGACAGCATTTCCACCTTGTTATTATGAGATAAGCAAGGAAAGAAACAGCAAGAGGAAAGCAATTCTCTTGTTCAGCGTTAAAATAGAAGTTCTGGGTATGCCAAAATTCAAGTGTTTTAAAAGAATCAAACATATAAAAGAACATCCGAATAGAGGATTCACACAAACTTAAACCCGAAATTGTACATAATGAAGTAGGAAATTGACAATACCTGATCTCTTCTTTCGGGTCCTGAATCCTCTTGTGACATAGGCAGAGACAGAAAAATCTTCCCAGGAAACGGAAAGCTGTGCCCAAACTTGAATGAGGAAAAGCTCTCTCTGCTCCCAAAGTGAGTCTTTCTGGCTCACATCTCAGGAGTTTCCCCCTCAGAGAGAACGGGAGGTACTTCTCCAATTGAACCCGTGCCCAAATGAACCCAGAGTGTCCCTTTATTATGAGGGTGGGTTTTGTTGTCACAGAAACAAAAGGCAAAGTGGAGGTTTTAAAAATGCCCTTTCACTTCCCTCAGTAGCGTGCTTTAGAACTCCTTAAAGCTGTCACTTGCAAGGATTGCTCTCACTTCATTTTTGCCCCCAGGTCCCGGGAGTTTCTCCTCACACTGACTTGTTTGGGCAAATCTGGCATAGGTGTCTCCAGTAAGGGTCTCCATCTACTGACCTCCTCTCCAAAATCAGGGTGTGATTTTGCCAGGCACGTCACCGTAGAAGTGGCTTGCTCTAATTAGCGTTCATTCCCCACCCCCCGCGGGTCTTCCCTCCCCACCTTCAGCTCTCCGACCTGCCCGCCCCAGCGCCCGCTCCTCCGGGAACTCGCTCCATCCCCACGCCAGCCCCGGTCCGTGGGTCCCATCCGCTCCCAGGAAGGGATTGGCCCGCCGCTCACCTCCGTGCCCTGGTGACCAATGGGCTCACGCCGCCTGCTGGTCCGGAGCTCAGCCTGGTAGCGCTGAGCCGGTCCAGGGCCGGGGGGGAGGGAGGCGGGAGGCGGGGCGACGGCGCAGGGAGCCCGAGTCCTGCGTCTGGGGACCGGCGGGGGCTCTGCAGCACACAGATAGGCATCGACCACTGAGCCCCCTTTTGCTTTTGCAGGCGCCGAAAGCTTGTTGTCTCCACTCTCTTCCTCCTCGTTTCCAAATTCCCAGGGCAAGTCCGCAAGCCCGGGCTGGGGACAGAGCCGGGCCAGTGGCCACCCGTCCATGTCTCCAGGATCTTGTCTACCTGTCACAGGTGGGCCCTTTGATTTGAGGGTTTGCTTTGATCACAGAGGACTGTCCTGGGTTCTGGGGCTCCCCAGAGTCCTGTTGGAAGGCTGAGAGTTAGTGATAACAACCTGGGATGCCTGCAATTTGAATGTTCTGTTTAAACCCTCTTTTTCTGTTTTTTCCTTTTTGGGGGGACTTTTAAACATAAATTGTATTGTGTGTGTTTAAGGCATACAACATGAAGTTATGGGATATGTATACATAATAAAATGGTTAAGTGGAACAAATGAATATATCCATTATCTCACGGTTAGTTTTTGTTTTTATGGCAAGAGTAGCTAAAATTAATTACTCTTAGCTGGGTCTGGTGGCTCACGCCCATAATCCCAGGAGGCTGGGGTGAGAGTATTTCTTAAGTCCAGGAGTTTGAGACCAGCCTGGGCTATATAGGGAGACTTCTCTACAAAAAATCAAGAAGTTAGCCAGGAGATGGTGGTGCAGGCCTGTAGAGCCAGCTACTCAGGAGGCTGAGGCGGAAGGATCAACTGAGCGCAGAAGGTCAAGCTGTGGTGAGATGCCATTGTGCCACTGCGCTCCAGCCTGAGTGACAGAATGAGACCTCAACTCAAAAAACAAAACAAAACAAAACTCCTTTAGTAGTAATCCCAAATACAATACCATTTTATTAATTATGGTCCTCATGTCGTATATTAGCACTCTAGACTTCTTCGTCCTACATGTCTGCTATTTTGTATTAACTGACCAGCCTTGCTCCATTTCCTGTCCCCAACCCCAGTAATCAGTATTTTATCCTCTGTGGAGGCCAAACACTTGATCTTGGTTGTTAATTGGCCATGCTGACTTCTGATTAACCCCTGTTCTGTGAAGACCTTGAAGATTTTCTATTTATCTATTGTTCCTTATAAGAGTGTGTACTTACTGTAAATCCAGCCCTGAGGACAAACAACCTTGAGGTCCCCATACTTCAATTGTCATTTCTTCTAAATTACCCATTCCCTATGGTGTATAAGCCCTTAATCTGGGGGGTAAATGGCATGGAGATTCACCTGCTTTTCTTGACGCCACTTGAGACACAGATGTGACTTCTGCTCATGAGTTCCTGTTAAATGTTTCTTTCTTTAGCTGGGCATGGTGACACATTTGTGTAATCTCAGCTACTCAGGAGGCTAAGGTGGGAGGATCGCCTGAGCCCAGGAAGTCAACGTTATGGTGAGCCATGATTGTGCCACTGTACTCCAGCCTGGGTAACAAAGAGATTTGGACTCAAATAAATAAATAAATAAATGTTTCTTTCAAGAAACTGGGTATGTCAATCTCTTTCTTGCATAGACCCACTCACCTTGAAGCATCTCCACCTATGTAAATTTGACCTTCGTTTTTTAGATTGCATGTGTAAGTGAGATCACCAACAGTTTTCTTTGTGTATGACTTACTTCACTTGGCATAATGTCCCCTAGGTTCATCCATTTGTGGCAATGGCAAGATATCCCTATCTTTTAAGACTGAATAATATTCCATTGCACATTATGCCTCAGAGAAATCTCTCTTTTGAAAGAGGTATTAAGAGAATTGGATTTAAATACTATTTCTGCTTGGATAGGGTTCCCTTCTCCCATCTCCAGCCCCACTGTCTCAAGGTAGAGATACCTCCAGAATCACTCTTACCAACTTGGCCATGTGTAATAGCTCCTGCAATTCCCAAAGGGGCTCCTGATATTCATAAACACTGAATTGACATCATGAAAATGTGATGTGTGCAGTGGCTCACGCCTGCAATCCCAGCACTTTAGGAGGTTGAGGTAGAAGGATTGCTTGAGGCCAGGAGTTCAAGACTAG